GCCTCTTAATTCTATGTTTTCCTTCTTTAAGTTATCCCCGACCATCTTTAGTTGGTTGATCTCTTCATGTTGATTGCCCAGTACATTTCCTAGTGATTTTATGCTCTCTGTTTCCGTTGGACTCAGGTCTTTCAATGTTATCTTATCTAACCTCGCCGTACAGTCTGGTTCTAGATGTAAAATGCCTTGCTGTGGAATTCCAAGCCTCTTAATTCTATGTTTTCCTTCTTTGAGTTATCCACGACCATCTTTAGTTGGTTGATCTCTTTACAATGATTAACCAGTACATTTTCAAGTGGTTTTATGCTCTCTTTTTCCATTGGACTCAGGTCTTTCAATGTAATCGTATTTATCCTCGCTGTACAGTCTGATTCTAGATGTAAAGTTCCGTGCTGTGCTTCCTTACTTACTTACTTAGCTGGCTTATTACAGAACGTTTGTTCCATAAGCCGGCCTTATAATAGATTTCCAGGCGCATCGGTCTTTTGCGTACCTAACCTAGCCAACGTATAACTCGATAGTCTGACAATGCCGATGTCCGAGAATAGATAATATAGCTCATGGTTCATTCGACGGCGATATTCACCATCAACTCAGATCGGCGCATAGATCTTTCAGCGAATGTTTCTCTCAAACACTCCAAGAGCTGCCTCATCTTCTTGCGCAACTACCCATGCTTCAGATCCATACAACAGCACGGGTAATATTAGCGTCTTGTAGAAAGTGAGTTTGGCGTGAGTTGGCCTTGTTCTTGAATTGCTTACTCAGACCATAGTAGCATCTGTTTGCCAACACTATTCTCCTCCGGATGTCATTAGTTTTATTTATGGCGGTACCGAGGCATATAAAATCGTTCACTACCTTGAAGTTGTAGTTTTAAAGTTCCACAGTTGGTCCGAGTCTACTGGACGTCTTGTGCGTTGATACCATCAGCTTGGTTTTCTCGCCATTTACTGTCAGTCCCACTTTGGCAGACTAATTATCAATTTGTTCAAAGGTGGCTTTTCGACCAGCTCGCAATGTTCGACCCCTGCTTCAGATCCATGCAACAGCACGGGAAATATCAGCGTCTTGTAGAGTGTGAGTTTGGTCTGGTGGAAAGTGGCCTTGTTTCTAAACTGGTTACTTAGACCACAGTAGCATCGGTTGACCAACACTATTCTCCTCCGAATTTCAAAACTGATGATATTATTTGCTTATGGCGGTACCAAGGTATATAACATCTTTGACTACCTCGAATCTGATTTTTAATGTTCCACAATTGGTCCGAAATTACTGGAGGTCAGCTTGGTCTTCTCGCCGTTTACTGTCAGTCCCACTTTGGCAGACTACTCCTCAATTTGTTCAAAGGTGGCTGTTACCGCTCGCAATATTCGACTCATTATGTCGATGTCATCAGCGTAGGCGTGTAACATGTGTTGTTTGGTGTACAGCGTGTCATTTCTGTTCATCTTTCCATCTCGTATTTCCAGCAGGATGTTAAAAAGGTCACACGACAAGCTGTTACCTTGTCAGAATCTTCGTTCGGAATTAAAGTGCTTCGAGAGGTATTTTCCGACTTTATCTGCTGACTTTGTGCCATTTAAAGTAACGCTGCCTCTCGTATTCCCAGCAGGATGTTAAAAAGGTCACACGACAAACTGTTATCTTGTCAGAATCATCGGTCGGAATTAAAGTGCTCCGAGAAGTCTTTTCCGACTTTAACTGTTGACTTTGTACTATTTAAAGTAACGCTGCATATCCGTATTAATTTTGCGGGCATGACGAACGCAGGCACCTTTAAAGGGATAGAGCTGTCGAATGCGGTTTTATAATCGACGAATAGGTGAAATGTGTCGATGCGTTTTTCTTGGGTATTTTCCAGAATTTGACGCAGTGTGAAAATCTGGTCAATGGTGTATTTGCCAGGTCTGAAGCCGTATTAGCCAGACAAAAAATGGAATTTCAAGTCTCTTAATTCTATGTTAATTCTTTATGTTATCCACGACCTTCTTGATCTGTTCACGATGATTGCCCAGTGCATTTCTTAGTGGTTTTATGCTCTCTGTTTCCGTTGGACTCAGGTCTTTCAGTGTTGTCTTACCTATCCTCGCCGTACAGTCTGTTTCTTATTGTAAAATGCCTTGCTGTGGAATTCCAAACCTCTTAATTTTATGTTTTCCTTCTTTAAGTTATATACGACCCTCTTTAGTTAGTTGATCTCTTCATGATGATTGGCCAGTACATTTCCTAGTGGTTTTATACTTTATGTTTCCGTTGGACTCAGGTATTTCCATGTTATCCTATCTATCCTCGCTGTACAGTGTGGTTCTCGATGTAAAATGTCTTTTCCTTCTTTAAGTTATCTACGACCTTCTTTAGTTAGTTGATCTCTTCATGATGATTTACCAGTACATTTCCCAGTGATTTTATGCTCTCTGTTTCCGTTGGACTCAGGTCTTTCAATACTATCTTATCTATCATCGCCGTAAAATCAGATTCTCGATGTAAAATGCCTTGCTGTGGAACCTCCAATAATGTTTGCTGCTTGTCCGAACATTTCATATGAGCTGTTATTGTGTTAGCAAATATCTTGAACAACCAGTTTTCTTCTTAGAGTCTTAGCTGCATAAAATATGGGTTGTTCTCATCATTGATACATTTTAACTGGATGGCCTCAGAGAAGCATCTCTCCGTGGATGATTCTCCTCGCACACAATTTCCTCGTCTAATGTACATTTGCCCTCGTGGAACGAGTTTAATTTAAAATTGACCACAATATATACGGCGTCTTTATCCTCGCTATCATAGTCGTGCTGGATTGGAATTACACTGTAAAAAAGATTTAAAAGAGCTATTTTCAAGTTGTTCACCAACTGATTACCCACAAACATTCCATGGCCTTTCGTTAAGGGCAGGACCTCCTTCAGTTCAGTTCCAGTACTTTTACCGTTTAAAACATACTTCTTGGGCAGCGAATTGCGAATCTGCTTTATCTTTGGCTGCAATTGACTGTGGCTAAGGAGCACAGGGAGTACTTGATCATTATTGACGTCCAGCAATACATCAATGATTTGCAACTCGTCACATTCTGTTATACGCTCGCGTATCTCCTTTGTAATTATAAAGAACAAAATAGATTCCCTATAAACGAAATACTTCTCGTTAATTGTGGCACTGATATTCTCATTTTGCACTTTATATCCGTAAAATGCGAATTCACTTCTTCCGTTGTAATTTTTAGCAGATTGATCGTAGAATCTACTACTGATGTCTGCTTTACTGCTTATTCTTTTAGGTCATGCCGATAGGCCAATAGCTTCTACATATTGTTCTCCATTTGAAATTAATAAATCAATTCCATTGAATATATGTGTCAAATAAATCATAATAGAGGGAGTTAACCCGAAATTTAGCTGTGGCCTCCTTTTTTCAGCCTTCATCTTTATAGCTGACATAGAAAGACCGCAGTTTTTTATCTGTCCACATCATTTTTTTCAGAACTTTTTTTATAATACATCAAGGAACCTTTACATTTATTGATAGCTTTTTAAACACCTTGTCCTCAAAATGTATGTCGAGGTATATCTAATAGACCATGTTTAATTATTAATAATCGGCGTCTATGTGTTTCATACTCGTCCATATTCCCACAACATTTCTTTCGTTTTCCCATTATAGTTTCTACCCATCGTTTTCAGGAAAGTTTGAAGCATCTCTCTCTCTCTCTCTCTCTCTCCAAAATACCCGTGGTTTCTGCTCTTCTGGGTCTACCCATCGTTCCCATTTCTGATAGAAGCTATGCAATAGGGTTCTCCTGCACGTCCATCTTCCCACATCTTTGCGGTCTGTCTTCCCTGCTATTTCCCATTTTGTTTGTCATTTTCTCATAATTTCTGCCCTTAGAGTATATCCATCGCTTTCCACCATGAGATCTATGGGGATCATATTCGCTATTATCAGAACAGCTATTTGGGAAGTTCAACGTACACATGATACAATAATAAGGTGACTTATCAAAACTAAAACATCTGTTTTTTAATTCGACCATCTGTCAAATTGTATCTAGTAATATTTCTCATGGTTGGCAACATTGCACGTCGAATTCAAGTAGAAATTAGTCAATTTGACAGTTAAATGAATCGTCACCTGCACTAAATGGACTACCTATTTATTGTGCCACGATCTTAAGCATTTCACCGTAACTGCAGCATTCCATATATCGGGGACGAGGATTGTTTCTTGTGCTACCGGACAAATTGACTGAAATCGATAGCATTTTATCATGATGCAATAATGCGATGTATCAAAACAAAAACATCTGTTTTTTTTGTCCTCGAATTCAAGTAGAAATTATTCCCTTTGACAGTTATTCGAATAGTCAGCTGTGCTAAATGGAGTACCTATTTATTGTATCATGTATCTGTTCCTGTCAACCTGTCAATTATGGGCTGCCTTTTTAATCAAACCTACTTAAAAATCGTTTGTCATTTAGGAATTAATACAAAATTTATACTCTGTTTACATGGAATTTATTTTTGTATTAAAATGTGACATTTCAAATGTCAATATTATTGCATATGTGTCAATTAAAATCAACATTTTTTTTTAATTAATGTGAAACATATCATTGTTTTCAATGTTTGATATTTAAATGATAATTTATGGGAATGTTATCATTGATAATTTTTAAATACTGTATAAACAAATAAATGACAATTTATTGGCACATCAACAATACCATTGACAATTTGCAAATATGTACTGTATAAACAAATGTACGCATATGTAATATTTTGTATAAAAATGTTACGCCTTTTTGCGGGGTTGTGACATACATGATTTCCATCATAATAATAGCTATATAAGACCTCCCACAGAATGTCGATATTTTATTGTATACATATATACACAGTTGTAAATGTTTATATTTATTTATTACGATGTGTTCACACATACCTCTTTCACCCACTGTTTACTAATAAATCTATTTGTTCTTGATTATTTTTTTATATTTTCAGGTCAAATTCAAAGTTCCCTTGCCACCCGGAGTTTCAACATCAACGCTGCTGCCAAAATTAATACGTACCAAAGATGTTAAACAATTGCAGGACGGGACAACACAACCATCAAAACCAAAATTAACAGTAAGTATTGAGGGAAATTAAAACCCATTGCGATACAGGAAGTATTGTATGAAGTTGATAAAACTGAAACAAGGAATTAAAGTGACAATCCAAACCGAAACCACTGGCTTATAACATGAAACTAGTCATCCCTACATTATTCCATTTTATGGCGTTTAAACAGGTCATCGTACGGTGATGTATCAAAACAAAAAAACTTTCTCAACCATCTGTCAAATTTTTCCTTATAATATTTCACATGGTTGGCAACATTGCACATCGAATTCAAATTACGCACTTTGACAATTAATCGAGACATCACCTGCGCTAAATGGACTCTATTTATTGAGCCATGATTATAACATTTTACTTCCTTTCATTGGTTTTTTTGTTTTCTTTTACCAACTCCTGCCTTAAAATCGAACTATAGTAACCTACATTATAACATTTTATCGGGTATATCTCCTCTATGATGATTTGTTTGACATATATGCCCTGACACAATAAATAGGTACTCCATTTAGCTCAGCTGACTAACCGATTAACTGTCAAAGTGCAATGTTGCCGACCCTAAAACATATTACTAGATAAAAACTGACAGATCATCGGATAAAAAACATGTGTTTTTGTTTTGATACATCACCTTATGTATACACTTTGATACATCACCATTATGATGTATGCAATCGACTTACTAAATCCCGAACAATGTAAATGTACTATAAATTGGAAATCATATCCCTTAAGCGGGTTACACACTATCAATTTTGAATGACAGTTCGACCCAAATTTTCAAATTTCCATCATTCATCAAGAATCCACGGTAATTGGACAAATACTTACTTACTTAGCTGGGTTGTGCAGAACTTTCGCTTCATAAGCCGAGCTTAAAAAAAATTCTAGGCGCGTCGGTACTTTTGCGCAGGTTTTCCAGTTTCGGCAATGTTGTCTTCCACTTGATCTTTCCATCTTATTCGTGACCTTCCTCTTCTGCGTGAGCCATCAGCTGGTTCGCTTTTATATAACTTTTGGGCTGGGGCATCTTCATCCATTCTCACAAAAGGACCTAGCCAACGTAGTCGCTGCATATCAATACGTCTAACAATGCCGATGTCCTAGAATAGCTGGTATAGCTCATGGTTCATTCAACGCAGATCGGCCTATAGATCTTTCGGATAATGTTTCTCTCAAACACTCCAAGAGCTGCCTCATCTGCTTGCGTAAGGACCTATGCTTCAGATCCATATAATATCACGGGTAGCATCAGCGTCTTGTAGAGTGTGAGTTGGATCTGGCGGAAGGTGGCCTTTCTTTTGAGTTGCTTACTCAGACCATAGTACCATCTGTTGGCCATCACAATCCTTCTCCGAATTAGTTGTATAAGTTCGATACATTGCTTACGGCAATGTATATGTACGATATATTGTTTTCCCTTCTACAGCATTACAATTAACAACTTTAATTGACCGCTCTACGGAGCCCAATGAGGAAATCTTCTCTGCATATCTTCCAGAAGCCTCATTCGCCTAGTTCAGATTGCAGGGGAGAGTTCGCTCTCTTCTACTATATCTCCTGGAAGCCACATTCGCTTAGTTCGGATGCAAAGAGGCGCTTTCCAATGCTGTAGTCGTAGTTGTTGATCACGGCCTTGCTGTAGCTTTCTTGCCCATCGCAACATCACTTGATTTCTAACTCTCGTTGATTAAACATACATTCTCGCTATCGTTGGTAACGCACGCTAAGGTAAAGTCTTGTTTCTCACGAAACCCATCAACTTTACAATAAAGATTGAAAAAATTTACTAAACTATCTTTCGTTTTTCTTTTCTTTATTTTTGAGGTTTCACTGCATCTCGGTATCGGTACGCCAACATTAGTAATCAATAAAAAAAGCTTAAATGCCCAAACTGGTAGTGTATACTCGCCTTAATTTATATGAGGTCTCAATTTATGTCCTTTATTTAAACCATGGCACAATGAATAGGTAGTCCATTTAGCGCAGCTGATGTCTTAATTAACTGTCAAAGTGGGTAATTTCTATTTGATTTCGTTGGGCAGTGTTGCCAACCATTTGAAATATTATATGGAAAAATTTGAAAGATAATCGGGACAAAAACAAAGGCTTTGATACATCACCTTATTATTGCATCATGATTTAAACTTTCCCTTTTTCCTCCTATCGTTTTTTCTTCTCCCACTTCCTTTCCTAAAATCGAACTAGTGCTCCCTATACATTAAAGTCCCACACAAACACATAACGACCATTTAGCTTCCCACTGGGTTTTCAACGACTCCATTGATTTACCAAGGGACATTTAGCTAATCGCCAGTGGTTGAATGCAAATTGAGATTGGAACCCCTGTTCATTAAACACATACAAACACATATATTAAACAACTTATTTATTCCCCTTCCTCTCTCCCCCTTTCTTTCAGAAATGCCTAAATACACTGGATCTCACATCGTTGGGCATTGGTTCCTGTTGCGGCACTGGCATGTATTTAGTTGCCGGTATGGTGGCCAAGAATATAGCCGGTCCTGGTGTGGTAATTAGTTTTGTTATTGCAGCAATAGCTAGTATATTTTCAGGTAAGCTATTCTAATTTTGGTTTTATATATATTTTTTTATTTTATAAACAGCAAGTTGTCATGATTTGTTTATTTTACATTTGTTTCGAAATCTATAAAAAAAAGTTGGTACTTTTTTAGACGAGCAGGGAAAAAATACTTTATAATTGTAAAGGAATATATCCTTGTTATTGTAAAATAATATTTATAATTTATTTATAAATTAAATCTTAATATAAACAACACACCTAAATTACGTGATTTAATTTATTTGACATATTATCAAGAGAATTGACAATCAATGTTATTATTTAAAAAAAAAAAACTTTTGATAAAACGCGATAAATGTAAACGTCTTAAGGTAGGGTCACACTAGGCAAATATTTGACGATAAGTGTCAAATGTTTCTTTGCCATAATATGACCACAAAATATTTTCAATGGCAAACACAAAAACAGCTGATTTTTGGCAAACAAAATTATTTGACAGTAAACAAAAGTTTGCGTAAAGTGCCCCCAACGTGAACGCCGACTAGCAAATATTTGCCTTATTTTTGGGCAAACATTTATTTGCTCTTACAATATTTTTGTACGGGCAAACAATGGAAAATAACAGCTGATGAATTCATTGTGTTGGCGTTTATATTGTTGGAATTTCGTCATTTTGTTTGAAAACAGAACATTTTTGACACTTTATCCAATCAAATATGGCATTTTTATTAGTGAAAAACATAATTTCAGGCCCTAGGTGCGCTTTCAAACCGAATAAGCTTAATATTGGCATTTCGAATTCTTTTTGGGGAAGACACCGCCTCGCAATGTTCAACATAGGTCAACATTTGTATATATGTAGCTGCGATATAATGACAAAGCCCGGTTTTCGATCTGTTGTAGGTTTTAAACATATTTTCAAGCGATGTAGCCGTGGTTTGCATTTGGGATTTATATTAAGTAAAAACCTTTATTTTGTATTTCGGGATCTCAGATGGTAAATTATCTCGTTACATACAATTTTCAAATCTCGACATATGGTCTAGACAAACATGGAGTTTTGACATATTATCCATACAAAGGTCCCGCCCCATTTGGTACAATCCGAATTTTATTATCAAATGGGATCTAATTTCTAGGCCCTTTGGGCTAGATTCTCGTTTATGAAATATAAGCGGATTCCGTAGGGGTATGATATATTGTACTATTTAGAATGCACATCTCAAATATTTGAGTGTAATGTGAACACAAAATCAAGAGTGTGCAAATTTGACATTTTTTTGAGCAAACAAAAAATAGACATTTGAGTCAAATATTTGCGTAGTGTGACCTTAGCTTTACACATTGTCATCTGAACAATGTGTTTAATTGCGTCATTAGTTTGACGTATAATCAATATTTGTAATCAGCTGATTAGGTAAAAGTAACGCTGTATTTATTTGACACATAATCAAGGTAATTTATTGAAATCATGTGTTTATTTACATATAGACACGTTTAGACTATAACCTATTGTCGTAATAATGTACATCTCGATTTAATTCCTAAATCGAGCTGTGTTTTTTCATAAATTTGCCTTTGACAGTATTCAGCTTTCAAAATTTAAATGAAAATATCTTCCTTTGAAATGTACGCATATCATGTGTTCAGTGGCAAAAATTGCTAAATAATTTATATTTATAAATATTTTGAAGTTCCCTGACTCTAAAACTTAAAAAAATAAGATGTAACAACCATGGTTAAATCTTGAGAGCAATGTTCAGCTTTAGAAAATATATTTTGTTTATACATTGATTTAAAATTTGCCAGTCGACATACATAAAATAATTATGCCATGTATTTAAAATAACTATATTCTTATAAATTGTTTTGCAATAGGGAAACCATTATGATATCAATATCAAAATAACAGCTGACTGTTAAACTTTATAATGTTTCAGTAGTACTCAAAATAGCTCGAATTAGAAATCGAATCGATTTAATAGGCCTAGGAAAATATTGACTGCAAAATGAATTATGAAACCATCATGAAATCTCTATATATAAATAAACAAATAACAGCTGACTAGCAATTGTATACCGTCTAAATACTGGTCTAAACAGCTATGATTTTATACATCGATTGAAAAATGGTCACATTTTTTTTAGCAAGCGAACAGCAATTCCTATTAGAATTATGAAAATATTGACTGAAAAATTGTCACTAAAATCATGAAACCATTATGAAATGAGTATGTATACATAAACAAATAACATCTGACTATCGCCTTTAATTCGTTTTAATACTGGTCAAAACAGCTGGGATTTCATTCATCGATTTAGAAAGTAAAGTCTGAACACGCGTTATGTTTCTATATTTTCTTTCTCCTAATGGTGAACAATTCTTATTAGAATTATGAATTAAATATTGAATGAAAAAATTGCCACAGAAATTATAAAACCATTGAAATGAGAATGCAAAATAAAGCATGCAAATAACAGCTGACTGTCAACTTTATATAGTTGACAGACCATATACTAGTCTAAAAAGCTAGACATTTTTACATCGATCTAAAAAAATTGTTTTAAAGTACGTTTAGATTTACAAAATCCACACGATCTCAAATGCCAATTCCATATCGTATGCGTCAAATATAATCCTCTTGATTTGTGAACGAGATTAAGGTGAAGTATACGCTATGGAATTGACATTTGAAATCGAGTGGATTTAATAGACTAAACAAGCTTTTAAGGATGATTTTGTACCTTCATTTAGAAAAAGAGTCCAATTAGAAGGCAAAGTTTTGACCTAATGGATATGAATCCTATTAGAATTTTGAGTATAACAGTACATTTACATTTAACCGGATTTCGTTAACCCAGTGGGTTTCAATTGTCATTTCCTTTGCATATATGTCAAATAAATCCTCATAATGTAGGTTAACCCGGTAAAAAGTTCTAATGTACAAGGAGTTTAATACTTTTAAAGCCACATATGGTGAAACATTTGGTCTGTTCCAGTACTTTTTTAATAGTAAATCTAGTAAAAGGGAAACATTTCAAAATTGCTCTCAGAGTACAAAATAATTTGAAAAGTTCAGGAACGCAAATCTAGTATATATGTCAAAATTAGATGGCAATACTTCAAAATCAACATAACAGCCAATCAGAACCATTACCATTTTTACTCGGCCAAATTTCTCGAGTAAAAAGATTACAAAGAGAACGCCATTTTGTATTGTGCTCTCTTAAATTTGGGTCAATGTTTTGTTTTGTGGGTTCAGGAACGGTTTTCGAGTAAAAAGTTGCAAAACTTGTAAAATTAGTAGATTCTTTAAGGATCTGGAATGGAACTATTTATAGACCATTTATTTTAAGGGGACCCCCCCATTCTCGGTGTCAAAAAAATTTTTGGATTTAATTCGAATCTACTCTAATTCTAGAATGTCCCTAGAATTAAGTGAAAATCTGAAGAACTCTTGAAGATATAGCCGATTTATTGTGTCAGCATCAAGTGACGGCTAAAGGGCCTCTCAAACTTTAAACGCGTTTTTCTCAAAACGAATGGCGGGCACGATAACTCAAAAACTAATAATCCAATCGGTCCCAAATTTTGACACGTTTCTCTGGGAGTGTATAGCTCTCGTATGAACTAGGATAAAGCCAATCGGTGAAGATCTTCCTTACCTTTTAACCAAGTTTGTGGTCAAAAATAGGCGATTTTCCAAAAAAAATTTCAAAGTTCCGCCATTTTGTTAATTGTTGTGCGAAGTCAATAATCCTAGTTCATACGAGAGCCAGACATGTACTCTTTCTAACACCGTTGGAATTTTCGGATTCCGATGTTCCAGTGAGGAGTTATCATGCCCGCCATCAAAAATAAGGACTTTTCTTTGATCACAAAAAACAACAACAAAACAACAACAAAAATTTTTTGTAAATTATTTTTCTTCCTTTTTAAATCTTCAAATATATATGTGCAAAGTTACAAATCTAAACAAGCATTGGTATTCATTTACCAGCCCATTTAAAATCGTAAAAATAAAAAATCGAGAATGGGGGGGGTCCCCCAAATTCAAAAATTCAAAATTCGTATAATATAAGTGCCTAATTTCGAAGTTATGAACAGCTATCATATACGATTTGAATCTTCAACTCTATTAACATGATTCTAGAATTCGTCTTAAACGTCTACACGTACTTTGAGTCGAGTCAGCTGTTTGTTTTTGACATATACATACACCACTGCATGACACAATAAATAGGTACCCCATTAACTCAGCTGATTATCAAATTAAAGCGGCCCACACACGTCAAACATGTGCGTTCGATCGGTGTGAATCGAAGCACACCGATCGAAAGAAATTAAAATTTTTTAATTTTTCGTTGTGCGACGCGCACATGTTTGACGTCTGTGGCCTGGTGTGTGGATATTTTCTCATTTGTTGAGAAATTTCGTGGAGTGCGGATCAGTGGACAAATGCAATACATATGTATTTGGAAGATTTTTTGATGTTTTTACACATATTCTACTGTGTGACAAATAAATAATATTTAATACATTTATATAAAATAAAAATATTTCGTTTTTTTTTTCGTCATCACTATCGCGGTCCATCTTCACGCTTCAAAAATAAATATATAAATGAAGTTTAGTGGATCCGTTTGACGTGTGTGGGCTAGGAGCTTCACACCGATCGAACGCACATGCTTGTCGGTTTCTACTTGAATCAGATGGGCAATGTTGCCAGTCATGTGCAATATTATAAACAAAAATTGACAGAAGGTCGAGACAAAAACGAATGTTTTTGTTTTGCTACATCATTTTATTATAGCATCATGGATAATCCATTTAGAGCAGCTGACTATACGGTTATATAATATAGGTAGGTACATAATATAGGTAGTCCATTCAGAACAGCTGATGACTCGAATAACTGTCAAAGTGGGTAATTTCTACTTGAATTCGATGGGTAATGTTGGCAACCATGTGAAATATTATAAGGAAAATTTAACAGATAGTCGAGGCAAAGGATTTTCTTTTGATACATCACCTTATTATTGGTACAAAAAATAGGTAGTCCATTTAGAGCAGCTAATGACTCAAATAATTGTCAATGTGGGTAATTTCAACTTGAATTCGATGGGTAATGTTGGCAACCATGTGAAATATTATTAGGAAAATTTGAAAGATAGTCGAGGCAAAGGTTTTTGTTTTGATACATCACCTTATTATTAAACCATGGTTTCTACTTAAATTCGACGTACAATGTTGCCAACCATGAGAAATATTACTAGATAAAATTTGACAGATGGTCGAATAAAAATATATGTTTCTGTTTTAATTCATCACATTATTATTGCATCTTGGATTAGATTAACCCTTTCAGTGTCAATAAAAATTTTTGTTTGGAATAAAAATCTAAAATTTTGCATTTAAAATCATATAAAGGGACATAGTTTATAAAAACTAACAACTGTCATTTTAACACTCGGCCTGTTTCGCCTGTCTTTCAGCAAAAATAAAAACATCGATAGTAACGGTACATAGGATAATCGAAAAATCGCAAAGAAAGAGAGTACTTTTAAATGTCGAATATATTCGAAAAAACACTGAAAGGGTTAAGTAGTACCTAACATGACACAATAAATAGGTACTGTCAAAATGCCTAGTTTCTACATGAATTCAATGTTTGCAATGTTGCCAACCATGAGAAAAACGTTTGACAATAATAACAGAAAGTTCGATGTTTTCTTCTCGCCTTCTTTTTATTCTTTGGTCTTAAACTGTGCTAAATTTAAACAGCATTTATATTATAATTTTTTGCAGGGTTAACCTACTTTGTGAGGATTATTTTGACAAATAGGCAACGGAATTGGCAATTGAAAACCACTGGGTTAACTAAATATGGTACAATGTAAACGTACTATTAATCTTCAAGGCATTTAATACTAAGGCATTTTAATATTATATATTATCTTTTGTTATTTAAATTTTGCCTTGTAAGGGCAGTTATCATTTGAAAGTAATTTTAAGTGATTATTTATACTCTTTCGAGTCGAGTCGGACTCGGAGCAACACAAATGTTGCCAAGACCACTTAACGTTCTGAGCCATCAACACACTTCCAAAACGATTGCGCAAAAACATGTGTATACCATGGAAGCAATTGTAAGTGTGTGGATTAATTATCCATCGCTACAACAAAAATCTGCTTTGAAAAGGACTGTTCCTAGAATGAAGACAAATGTCGAACTTTGACAAATTTGAGTTTCGCATCAGGGCGGAATTAATACAAGGTATCAACGTATGACATTTGTAAAGCCACATAGCCCAATATGCCTGATGAGCCGCTTAACCAACGGCGAAACGCGTCGCATAATGGTGGGTGCGTAGGTTCTTCTCCTGGCTTTCCTTTTCATTGCAAAACTTAGATTATCAAGGTCGACTCGAAAGAGTATAAATAATCACTTAAAATTATATATTATCAAGAAATTTTAATAATATTTTAGTGTTAAGATTCTACCGCGGCATTCTCTGATATGATCTGAAAACCAAGTATACTTGTAGACATATTTAGTTGTCGGACATTTTGCGCCATGTTTCTGTGATGCAAATGACGTTAAGTGTTTTAGAACTTCCATCTCTGTTATGAACACATGTTTGTTTCGATCTGGCAATAGGTGTTCAAAAAAGAAGCATCCGCAATTTTTTACAATGGAAAAATTAGAAATGCGTGATTTCATTGTAAAAAAAATGTCGGATGCGTCTTTTTTGAACACCTGTTTCTATATGAAAGAGTTGCCAATTCGAAACAAACATGTGTTCATAGCAGAGGTGGAAGTTTCCAAAACACTTAACTTTTTTCTGTTTATACCACGCTTTTTGTGCTAGGCTAAGAACTTTCCGAACTGCTCTCGTATGTATCAGAATTCTATTCAGAAGTTGAGGAGTATTTAGATGTTGTAGTCTCTAAAGAAGTTGTAGATTCTTTTAGAAGTTTTAAAACCAATATTCAATTTTATGGATCTAGGAAACTTTAAATTCACACAATTTACTAATTTTACATATTTTTAATATTTTTATTTTTCCCCACTCTATTTTTTCGTTTAAAGGCGCCTGTTATGCTGAATTTGGTGTACGTGTGCCGCATACATCCGGTTCGGCGTATATGTATTCATATGTTGCTGTTGGTGAATTTGTTGCATTTGTTATTGGTTGGAATATGATATTGGAATATTTAATAGGTGAGTGGTAACGCCTAAGCACTTACAGTACTTCGAGGCCCAATTAAATATTAAAGGGGTTAACCATTTTGAAAACGTTTCCAATGAAAATTATTATGGTTTTTTACAGGAACAAGTGCCTGTGCATGTGCGTTAAGCTCCAGTTTTGATTCACTTACTGGTGGTGCTATATCAAGCACAATTAGTGATACAGTGGGTACCATATTTGGTGAGTATTTTGAAATTAAAAAAAAAAAACTCAAAGGGAAATAATTTTCAATTCAAAAAAAAAAAAGTGAGGAGAATGAGTTCTAGATTAAGGTGCTAATATTATAAATCGGCATATTTTCTTTAATCTAACTTTCAAAAAATTCCCTATTTCCTGGCCTGAAAATCTCAAATCCTGATTAGCGAAGTAAAATCTTCCAAAATAAAGTTTTCTTTTTTAATTTTTTTAAAGGTAAACCCCCGGATTTTATAGCCTTTGGCATAACGCTAATGATGACTGTGGTATTAGCGTTGGGCGCCAGTAAATCAGTGATATTCAATCATACCTTAAATGCCATTAATTTGGCCACCTGGGTATTTGTTATGACCGCTGGCCTTTTCTATGTGGATTCCAGTACATGGACGGAGCATCAGGGATTTTTGCCATACGGGTGGAGTGGGGTAGGTTTTGATTTTTTCCATAAAATTATAAAAATAGATTTAAATTCCTCCTCTTTCCCTTTCCAGGTATTTTCCGGTGCTGCCACATGTTTTTATGCATTTATTGGTTTCGATATAATCGCCACAACGGGCGAGGAGGCCCACAATCCCCAGAAAAGTATACCAAAAGCAATATTGGGTTCATTGGTCATTGTCCTGTTGGCCTATGTGACCGTGAGTTTGGTTCTGACGCTGGTTGTGCCCTATGATCACATCAATACCGGTGCTGCTTTGGTACAAATGTGGACATATGTTAATGCACCCAAGTGTAGGGCAATTGTGGCAATTGGTGCCACTGCGGGACTGTCGGTGGCCATGTTTGGTTCCATGTTTCCCATGCCAAGGGTGATTTATGCCATGGCCCAGGATGGTTTGATATTTAGGTGGGTCAAAGAGATTTTTTTCCACTCCCTACAGAAAATAATAATTTCCCTCTCACTTTCCCCCAGACAACTTTCCCAGTTGTGGCAACGCACCAATGTTCCCGGTTTGGCCACAATTGGCAGCGGTATTGCTGCAGCCCTGGTGGCCCTATCTGTACGCCTGGAAATCCTTGTCGAAATGATGTCCATTGGCACATTGCTGGCCTACACTTTGGTATCCACCTGTGTTTTAATATTACGCTATCAGCCACATAGTACATCTCTGATTGAACTGCTGCCGGCCCAACTGCGAACACCCATTACCACGGGAGCTACCGGTGATCCTCGAGCCACTACCGCCGAAGTTATGGAATCCAATAAGCTAACCATCAAACGTGTAACACGTGGCATGTCTGACTCGGATGATTCTTTCATTGATGAAAGTCCCGATGGTTTTATGGGTCGTGATGATCAATTTTTGGTATCCGATCGTTCGGAAAATAAATTCTATGGCGCTGTACATGGAGCACCCACAGGGCCGACGGGTCAAGCCAATGCCTTTGATACAATGGGCCTGAATTTTGTCTCACGCAAAATCCATGAATATTCGTACCTGTGTCCGGGTTTCTTCCCATGGATAAATCCTGGACAAGCCACCACGGAAAGTGGTAAGTTGGTCCAAAGAATCTTATTGTATTTTTTATATTATTACCAAAAAGTGACAAATTCTCTAAAGTAAAACTAAATTTTGTTTTTGTGTTTTCAAAATTCGAAATTTTTTGTGTGCGCACCCCCTCCAACAACATGCAGGCATGTATGTGACCAAGCTTGTTGGCCTCATGTTCGGTCTCATATTCTTCTTGGATCTGTTTGCGGCCATTGGCTGGTCCGGTGGTTTCGCAGCATTCATTTATTTCATTTTAATTATCGGCATATTTGTGATATTATTAATTATCTCGAGACAACCACAGAATAGGTAAACTAAACGGATTATCCTGTCAATGCAAAATTGTTTAATTCCCAATAACTATTTTTTGGGAATCATCCAGCAAATATCACTAATCACAAACTGTTGTTGTTTTTTTTTCTTCAACTGCTATTCTTTTTCTTCCTTTCTATCTCTTTCTCTCTCTCTTCTCTCTGTGTGTGTTTTTGCAATTCTCTCTGTCTCTCTTTTTAGATATGCACTTGCGTTCCTCACACCTGGACTTCCATTTATTCCGGCAATTGCCGTTGCCGTCAATATCTATTTAATATTTAAGTTAAGCATCTTAACCTTAGTTAGATTTACCATTTGGATGACCCTGGGCTTGGTGGTATATTTCTATTATGGCATTACACACAGTAGTTTGGAGCAGCCAAGCGATGAAATGGAATTGCGGGTGGATAAAGATTATGTAAGTATGGCAATTTAAATGATGATACTTTAAAATAAAACAGAGCCGGTGTAAATACGCCCTAGTGCTACATATTGTCTATTCAAACTCAAAATGGCAATACATACTATAACTTATATGTCAAAAATAATCTGGCCTGGATTTTCTGTTTAGAATTTACTTGACATATACGATATGGAATTGACTATGACCTACTAAAAAAGTTACCCAAGAAACAGCTGTTTTTCACACTTAGGTAAAATGTTAAAAATTTGGGCGTTTTTACGCTTTCACAATATTATTTTTTGACAGCAAACTTGAAATGACAAGTAAAATTATGATTTATCGTAAAATGCCTTTCTGTGTACATACGCCCTGTATAGCACTAAGTGTTTTATGAAAGCAGTCAATTAAAGTACGTTTAGATTTACGAAATTTACTCCATCTCAAATGACAGTACCGTAGCTTATAAAAAGTGTAACATAAAATCTGTACCCGGTTTTGTGAATGGAATATATTTGGAATTGACCATGACCTAATAAAAAGGTCAACCAGGAAACAGCTGTTTCGCCTCTTAAGTGTATTGTCAAAATATTTGACGTTTTTTACGCTTTCACAATAAAGAATTGAAATGACAAGTTAAATAATGATTTATCGTAAAATGCATTCTATGTAAATACGCCCTAGTGCTAAAGAAGGTATTTTATGAAAGCAGTCATTTAAAGATCTCAAATAGCTAAAGAAGGTATTTTATGAAAGAAAAACCTTTGTTTTTGTCTCGACCATCTGTCAAATTTTTCCTTATAATATTTCATATGGTTGGCAACATTGCACAACGAATTCCGGTAAAAAATCCACACAGGTATCAGCTGCGCTAAATGAACTTCCTATCTATTGTGCCATGGGCAGTACCCATAGCTTATATGTCAAATAAAATCTGGACCGGATTTTGTGAATAGAATTTAATTGACGTATACGAAAAAATTGATCATGATGCAATAATAAGTTGATGTATCAAAACAAAAACTCTTGTTTTTGTATCGAACATCTGTCAAATGTTTCTTTATATTTCATATGGTTGGCAACATTATACAACGTATTCAAGTAGAAATTACGTACATTATGGATGGAGTACCTATTTATTGTGTCGTGAAATTGACCATGGCCAAGGTCTATTAATAAGGTAAAACAGAGAAACCAACTGAATATTAGCTACCTATCAAGTTTGCTGTCATACAGTTAATCTCACTTTGACAGTTAATCGAGGCATCAGCTGCGCTAAATGGGCTACCTATATATTGTGCCATGGAATTGGCCACCGCCATGGTATATTAAGAAGGTCATCCGGGGAGACCAGCTGAATATCAGCTACCTCTCAAATTTGCTGTCAAAATTCATTATTGTGAATTGACTTCCGTTTTGAAAACGTAAAAAAAAATCAACATTTTTGACATTAGACTTGAGAATAAACAGCTGACTTTCGCTAGCTGGGTGACCTTATTAATAGATCTTGGCCATGGCCTATTAAAAAGGTCGGACAAAAGGGAAAAACAGCTGTTTTCCCCTAATTGAAATCTAATCGAAATAATGCATTTTGACAGAAGCTGATCTTCCTGGGCGTTTTTTTAACGCCTTGTATTTGACATTTGAGATCGAGTGGATTTCATAGTCTAAGATTGCGCATAGACTACTAAATTCACACGATTTCAAACGTCAATACGTCAAGAAAATGCTGTCACAAATGCAGTGGATTATATTTGACGTATACGCTATGGAATTGATACTAAGGTCAGCCTGGAAGGGAAAACAGCTGTTTTTTTCTTAATGGAAATCCTATCACAAAAATGCATTTTGATTTGCAGCTGATCTTCTTGGGTCGACTTTATTAGTAGGCCTTGGAATTGACATTTGAGATCGAAAGAATTTCATAGTCTAAATTCTCGTTTAGGCTACTAAATCCACACGATTTCAAACGTCCATTTCATAGCGTACACGTCACATAAATTCTGTCACAAATGCAGTGGATTTCGTAAATCTAAAGGCACTTTAAGTCCATTTTTCTCATTGATTTTTAATGTTGCATAAGGTCGTGCTTACATCAGTTTCGTAAAAAATATGTCATGTATTTGACATACCTACCTCGAAATCGACAATTCAAATCACACATTTTATTAACTAACATTTATTGTAAATAAAGTATAATGTTTTGATTCTAAATTATAATTATTATTTTTTTGTTCTAATATTACAGAGTAAAAATACCAATGTTGAAGAGAAAGCCGTATGGGATCAACCTTCCTTTATGAACCAAAATCATGAACCAGTATGGGCCAGTAAAGATAATACAACAGCAACAACAAATACAAAAAATACAACAAGTAAGTAATAAAATAAACATATATATAGTAGTGTTGGCGGGTTATAGTACGTTTACATTTAACCGGATTTCGTTAACCCAGTGGGTTTCAATTTCATATTTTCAACAATTTCAAAATTTATATTTTCTTAAGTTGCACATCGCTCTCCAGATGTGAATATGGTTGTTAAAACTTATATACTTAATATTAAATTAATATTATATATTAATAAATATAAATAAACTAGAAATTTTTTCCACAAGTTTTTCTATTTAAATTTTGAAAACTGAATGTTGTCAAAGTAAAATAAAAACATATATAAGAATGTGTCTATAGATCCCTATAAAACAAAGAAAGACCTAACCTCCACACTATCACCATACATTACACCGTTTACGATGATACTAGACTATCTAAATTTCACGTTTTATAAAAAAAACATTGAATGAATTTCGTGTAAACAAGTTAAAACAATTTCACACGCAGGGAATTATAGGTTGTCTTCCCCATCCTGCGATATAGTATAATATTGTACTACTTTTGCAATTTGTGCTAGAAAAACGTTCCTTTTACGCCAATAACTAGCAAAAATCGCAGCCAAACTTAACCTACTTTATGAGAATTTATTTGACATATATGCAAAGGAATTGACAATTGAAACCCACTGGGTTAACGAAATACGGTTAAATGTAAACGTATCATAAAAACAAAAATTGCGTTCTTTGCTCATATTTTGTGAGAAAACAAATTTTACGTAGTAAAAGTAAAAAAGTAGAAGTTATGACATAACCATAAAGCCATAAGACCAAGATCTATTCCAAATGGAATTCATTCATAATGGAATTCGATTCACAATAATGTATTTTGACAGCAAACTTGCCAGGCAGCTGAAATTCAGCTGGTCTCCCTGGATTATCTTATTAATGTCAATCAGATGATCGAACCAAACCTATGGAAATCAATGTATTCGACTGTTATATAACTATTAATCGAATACATTGATTTTCATAGGTTTGGTTCAATCAGCTGATTGATATTGCTTTATGGTTATGTCCAAGGCCTATAAATAAGGTTGGACAAGGAGACCAGCTGGATATCAAATGCCACTAAAGTTTGCTGTCAAAATCCATTATTGTGAATTGCCTTTCATTACGAAAATGTAAAGAAAAGCCATATTTTTGACATTAGACTTAAGAAAAACAGCTGACTTTCGCTAGCTGGGTGACCTTATTAATAGATCTTGATTAGTCTTAACTAATTCTACCTTAATTCTAGTAATTGTCAGGGATAACTAGATCGAAATAAAATCGTCAACGTTTGCCCACACACATATTTCATTATTTTCTTTGCTAAAAATGAATTAAAGAACCAAGTGTTGACAAACAAATAAAGAATATAGACAAGTAGTAAGTTTTTTTCTATTTTATGTGTTAGTTTCAGGTTTGTGTAGTCTGTTTCTTGGCATCAAGTCTTTCCTTTTTTGAAAGAACGGGAACAGATCTATAATAAAAATATTTTCCGTTCCGGGACCTAAAAAAATTGCGTATCTTACAAATTTTGCAATTTTTATACTCAACCCATGGTATAATAATAGAAGGTAACAGCAAGTGTTGTTGTACAAACAACGATACAACAACCACATGGAAATTTGTTGTTGTAAGTTCTACTAGTGTCAACTCATTTGACAGAAAAATGTAAACAAACAAACAAATTATCATCAAATTATTTTTATTTTGAAAATGAAATATTTTCGAATCCTCAAAATAAAAATTGAAAAACATGAATGAAAATCTTTCAAATTTATATTTCTATCGCTTCCACATCTTTCCTATAATTGAGCCATTGCCATATATATGTGTAACACATATGAAAATGCAGGGAATAGCGAGTTGTTCCTTGAAGAAAGATTTGCTTCCTCAAACTTTCCCAGCAGGCAGATTGAGTAAGTTGAATACGGGAGCACATTTAATAAAGAACAATTACAAATTGTATGCGTTCCCAATTTTCCTGTTGGGTGATTTTTAAAGACATAAGTTGTCAAATTCATATTGACACTAGTATTACGTTGGAATCAAATCAGATGGGACTTGCTGTTACCTTTTATAATTGTACCATGTACTCAACCATTATTCCTTCACCCACAAAACTACAAACTCTTCAATATTGACAGAACAAAAAAATGCCAACAACTTTTTTATTGATTACTGACTATCCAAAAACCCTGAATATTTTCGTGGTTGCCTGATGAATAACGAACATGAGAGACCACTCTATCAAAGCAGCAAAATTTAGACTGAGTGTCATTCAAAAAGTGATAGTGTGTACACCGCTTAATGTGACTGAAAACTTGAGAAGCAGCTGATCTTCCCGTGTAATATGTAAGATCAACTGTTTGTACAATATTGTGAATTGCAATTTTGTTTGGAAATTAATTAAAAGTATTAGATTAGATAATTTAGTATTAGATCACAATTTTTCTTAAAGCATGATTTAAATCACAGTACTTATAAAATGCAACACTGGTTTTGTACTAATTTTTGACTGGTTTTGACTGGTTTTGCAGAAAGTAGCATAAGCTGCGGTCACACCGTCTATGTAGCTTTATGAAATATTTTATTAAAAAAATCACGCCTTGTGGTAGCTTCAAAAATATGTTGTTGAATAATTTCTGCAAATGACGTGGTGTGTAAATGTAGCCAAAAACTATTAATTGCCAGGGATAACTAGATCGAAAAAATAATCCAAATATATTTTGATTTTAATAGTATGTTTACATTATACCGGATTTCGTAAACCCAGTGTGTTTAAATCGTCAATTTCATTGTATATATGTCAAATAAATCCTCATGAAGTGGGTTAACCCGGTAAAACTCCTTGTACATTAGAACTTTTTACCGGGTTAACCTACTTTATGAGGATTTATTTGACATATATACAATGGAATTGGCAATTTAAACCATTTGGGTTAACGAAATTCGGTACAATGTAAACCTGATATAATATAAAATTGTTACAGAAAAACTATTTATCAAATATTTGAAATGTTTATTAATTTTTTTTATTATTATTTTTCTCTTCCAGAACAATCAACAAACTATTCCACAAAACCGCAAAAGAACTCTAAACCAAATCCAGCAGCAACCAATACACACAATACAACAAGTGCAAGAAATCCGGGAATTGGTCAGACCGCTGGTAATTCGGGAACATTTAGTATGTTTGTGGATGAAACAGAGTTTCCAACGTGGGATGATTAAAATCCAGAATAAAATCACCTTTGTTTTAAGTATTATTAAAAAAATAAATAAAAACAACAAAATATAAAAAAGGAACAAAATAAATTCCATTTGCCACTCAATCCTCCCCTCAATCCTGAAACACATAATATAAATTAAAGGAACAAACAAAAAAAAATAACCTAACAATGTGAGAGCAATGCTTAGAATTATTTAAAAGTTAAAAACAAATTAAAAAAAATCCTAAAAAATATAAAAGATATTATTGTGTTAATGATATTTTATTAATTTAAATTCATTTTTTAATGTAAATATTTAAATTATTTAGTTTATTTAAAAACCAAAAAAAAAAATCCCAACACATATATAAACTTATACATATACTATGTATTTATAAATGTATATACATGAAAAAAATTAGTTTATTAATAACCCCCAAAAACTTAAAATTAAAAATAAAATATATACATTAGGTCATATATATACAAACATTTTTGAAATATCATCATATTTGGCTGAGCCAAAACAAACAAACAAACAAACAAAACTTCACATTTTAAAACACACAAAATTACTTTAACATTGTTTCCTAAATGTCTACAAAATAAATCTAATCAATATGACCTAAAAATTGTTTCGTTTCTTGTTATTTTTTCTTCTTTTCATAACATTCAAATTTGAACAATTTTTACATATTATACACTTATTAATATATAAATATACATACATATACATAAACTTATAAATAATCCCCCCAAAAAGAAAATGAAAAAAATTATACAACAAAAAAGTCATTTTTAAATGTATAATTGACTAAAAACATAAACAAATTATTATTAATATTATTATATATACATACATAGTTAAATAATATTATTATACAATTTACAATTTAATAACTTAATCGATATTAACAGCCTGTTTTTGTAAAATTCCAAACGAACGAATTCGAGTGACTTACGACCAAACCTTTATTTATGTTTATAATTTTTTTATGATTCAAAACAAAAATAAATGACATATTTTTCAAAACCAAGGAGTTTGGTCGTAAGTCACTCGAATTCGTTCGTTTGGAATTTTACAAAAACAGGCTGTAATTGATAAACAAAAAAAGCGATAAAGGGATTTTTTTTTGTTTTATATTACACAGATTTTGAAATTGTTCACCAATTTTGTAAATATTTTATTTGACAGAAATTCTTTTTTGTTTCATTTTATTAAATCGAGTTATCAAATTCTAGCTTTTTAGACTAGTATAAACATGCTGTAAAGATGATTTGTCAGCTGTTACTTGTTTACGTATACATACATTCCCCGGGTTTCATAATTTCTGAGTGAAATTTTTCAATCAAGATTATTCATAATTTTGATAGCAATTTTCGCTCCATTTTAAATGAAAACAATGCAGATTTCAGACTGAATGAGACTTGTTTCAAAATTTCTGCGGCAAATTTTTCAATTAATTTTTGTAATTTCTGAATTGATTTTTTTTTTGTATCTCTATTAGTTCACCATTTTTAATGTTAATACCGAGTTTACATTAGAACATTTTACTGGGTTAATCTACTATATGAGGATTTATTTGACATATATAAAATGGAATTGATAATTTAAACCCACAGGATTAATAAAATCCGGTATAATGTAAACGCACTATAAGTGTAAATCGATATCAAATACACCCCTGTTTATACATGCCTTCAGCTGAGCAAAACACAAATCTGAAAAGTATCAAGTATTTTAGAATTAATATTCATATCTAAGCCTATTAGTACGGTTATCCAGGAATATCACCTGCAAAACAGATGTTTCTCAAGTTTGCTATTGAAACGCGTTATTGTGAATTGACTTCCATCTTTAAGAGTCTAAACGCAACCAGAGAGTCACGAGTCAGCGTCATACTTTTTCGCCGGCGTGAAAACCAAACGAAAGAGTTAGCGTTAGCACAAAATGTCAATTGTTTGTTTTCATTTTCTGACAGAAAATTTTATGTTGTGCAAACCAAAATCAATTTATTATTTAATAAACAATAATGTCAAGGAATTTGGATAAAATTATTGAAAAAATTATTTTTCTTCCATTTTATTAATAATTCATTAAAAAACATCCACAATCTTTGAAAATATTTTTTTTTTTTTAACAGTACTGCCATATGTTTTGATATAAATTCTGATTGAAATTTGGTAGCACTGTTGATTTTTACCTAAAATATGGCAACTCAATTGAGAGCAAGAGAGAAATTTTGAGTATAACGCTGAGCAAAAATGAATAAAATCTATTCTAGCGTCATGTCGCTAGACGCGAACGTCAGCCGTCGCGATTTCCCGTTGCCTATAAGAAACACACGGCAAACGACTGTCGCTGACTCTAGACTCTATGGTTGCGTTTAGACTCTAAAACGTAAACAACGTCCAAATTTTTAGCCAGGGTGCGGAGAATGATTAAAATACGCCCTTTCTCACGAATGCTCATGGCGAGAATTCAAATGTTTTCAATTTATCGCGAATAATAAAAAGTTACAAAAAATGAACAAGCATTTGCAATCTCTCGCAAATGTTCGCATTGTACGAAAAATTTACAAACGATAAAATTTCGCTGCAATCGTCGTCGATTCGTTCTTTCGCGAGTATTTGTTGCCGAATAGCATTCTTTCGAAAAACTCAAAAAACAAATGTTCGCGAATGCTCGCGAACAGCGAATGCTCGCGAACAGCGAATGAATGTGTGTGTGTAGCAGAATGTGTGAGCATGTATGAAATAGCAAAACACATCCTCAACAAGTATTGAGTTCACGAACGTTTGATGATATACTTGTTGCTGGTCTGAGAATTCGCGAGCATTCGCGAATGTTCGTTTTCATTCTTAAGCGAATGTCAGAAAGAATTTCAACCACCAAACGAAACGAATGATCGTTGTTGTGTGCTCTCACTCGTTTGTTATGTGTGTGCTCATTTGGTAAAGCCCAAAGCGAAAAGAACGTATTTTGAATCATTCGCGAGCGAATTTTTGCGCAGCCTGTTTTTAACATTAAACTTAAGAAAAAATACGTTTTTTTTTTCTTCTAGAGTGACTCTTTTAAAATCTGGTGTAAATTTAGTACGTAGTGTAATGCAATAATGTAAAACCGATTAGTAACCGATTCATCAACTGACCGGCACTTAAATCATATCGAAATATGTATAAAGGTTAACATATATTTTAGGATATGGTTTTTTAAGTCGATTTAGAGAATATCGTCTGAAACGATACATTTCATAATGTATCGTGAAAAATCTATGAAATTCTTCTGTTAAATTTTTTGCAGAACATAAAGTCCGATATATCGAACAATTCTGCACCATTGACTCACGATTTTTGATTAGTTCCGGTTTTGCAGCAAATGAGAGATTCTATGGAATTGACAATTTGGATGTAATGGATTTACTAAATCCAGTATAATGTAAATGTACTATAACTGCGTCAATTAAATAGTATAAAAATTCAACTATGAAATCCATACAATGTTCAGAAAGTTTCTAAAAAATTTTAAATGTCCCTTCATTTTTAATTAGTCTGCTTTTCCACAGGCAGATTTTTATTTGGCAAATTTTTTGTTTTCTCTTTTGAAATTTTCGCTTGCTTTTCCATTAGCAAATTTCTCTTTGCCAAATTTGCGAATCAAAATACAAAAGAAAGAAAATAAAAGTCAAAAGGGTATTCATTTTAAAGATTTTTTTTTTAATATTTTATTTATTTTTTATATATTTTATTATATAAATTGCAAAAATTAAAAATTAAATTTCACTTGCACAAATTAAAGCAACAGGTTTGTAAACAAAAGCCGGCCGTGTGTCAGTAAAGCGAATAGGTTCAAAAGGAAATGTCAACAAAATTGTTTTCAACGAACAGAGCAGAAAGCAGAATTTGCGTGTACGGCAAATTGTGAACAGGCAAATTTTTGTTTTTCTTCCTCGCACCCCTCTCGCCTACAAACTTAGTATTTGCCAAATAAAAATTTGCCTGTGGAAAAGCAGACTTAGTTTTTTTCTTTTGACGGATGCCGTTTTTTTTATCCGGAATAATTTAAGGCACGTATAGACTATGCTTTCTAAATCGATACGATTTCTTATGCGGTGTACACACTAGCATTTTTGAATGACACTCTTGCCCAAATTTTGCTTGTTTGATAGTGTGGCCTCACATGTTTGTCATTCATCAGGCAACCACAAAAATATTTATGGTTGTTGGACAGTCAGTAATCGATAAAAAACTGACAGTCAAAAATGATAGTGTGTACACCGCTTTAATAGAGGGATCAAATCCTAGGGCGCGTTTAGACTACTAAATTGAAAAACGTGTTGCCAGTCTTTGTGTAGTGGATTTTTTTTTTAAATCGAGAATAAAACTTGTCCAATTTATCTTAATAAAATCACCCAGAAAGGAATTCAAAATGTTAAAATCTATGTAATATATATTCAAAAAAATCCCTTTGTTGTTTTACAAAATGTTACCAAACAAATTACTATTACATTTTTATTAAATATGTAAATGTTATTTTGAAATATAAATAAAATATTATTATATACATATTTTTTCTCTTCATCTTCTTCTTTAATAAAAAAAAAATAACATCCATTTATTTATTTTTTATATCTAACTGTATAAAAAGTATTTTTATTATAACCCAAGTATTTATATAATTTAAAAAATAACTTACTAATAATTGTATATTATATTAAAAAACCAAACACATACATTTCTAATCTTTGCTAATTGTACATTTGTTCTTCATAATATTTTAATTAATCAAAAATAAATCAATCAGATAAAAAATAAGTATATGTTTTGTTTTTGGATATATTTTTTAGTCACAGGGAGACACATAGACACATTTGAGGCATGCTTTTTTTAAGATACATTGTATGATATATATTTTTTATAAAGACATATCTGAAGGGAAAAATACATTCTCCTTTTTTCT